AACAGGTGGGGTAAGCCGATCGGCTATCCTACTTTTATCGTTTCAGACCAACCTGTCACTTATAATGCCAGCCAGGGGAAATGATAAGATTGCCTAGCCTAGGAGGGAGTCGAGTCAGGACCTAACATCTCCCTAAAACATCTCAATCCCCGCTATCATGACTCTCTCCGACGTTCTCTAATGCGATCCTTACCCTTCTCGCGAATATCCAAAAGCCAGATACGACCAACCCAAAAGTCTCAAATACGATCCCCTCCCCTTGGACTTGGTTTAGTTGACGGTTGACCCTAGACCTAGCGCTTGAGAATTATGCACCCTAAATCAATGAATTTAAGAAAAAAACCGAAAGAGAAAACACTTGAAATAGTTCTGAAAATTAAACGCAAAATATTGAATTATTTAAATCACAATAAAATTGTAATGTCAACACCAGCGTCACTTTGTTTCTTTGCATATCGCATTACACTCCGCCATGGCAACTGGCGGGCTGAGCTTTGCACTTTCACCGGCGGTCTTGCAGCATGCACTTCTTTGGAGTTCCATATCAACTTTTGCGTCACTCTACTCTCCTTTCTTTCGTTCGTCCCCTTCCTTTGTGCGGTGAAAATCAATTAAAAAACCAACCAAGTTTTTCTAACACGTTTTTTTTACCATTACTCAATTACAAATGATAGGAGAAGTTCCCCGCATCACAGAACACCAACTATACAAGCATGACAGAATCCCAGCGCTTCCATCCGAACAAACTCTTTACAATCAAGAACGCAAGCAAGCTAATCAAGAACATGTCTAAGGATCGAAACTCGCTTTTCTTCTGTTTATTTATTCCCCGCTATTTCCACTAGGAAATCGAATGAGAGGATTATATTTAATTCGCAGAAAACTCGTGATACCGCCCAAACTTGTCCCAACCCATTGACCTTTTGTAGAATCCTTTAGGTGTCCCAATAAAGGAATCTAAGCAAATAGTTTGAACGATCACAGCGACCACTTGGCAAGGTTGCGAGATAACAGGACCATAAATTCCTGTCTACAACAACGACATATCTTCGCGGTTGCACTACCTTGCTTGGACCTCCTGTTTATGCGTTTTTATTGTCTACCCTTGTTAGAAAAATTGGAATCCACTATCAGTGCCTTTCTACATCCACTAGTTGTTTATAGTCTTGAATTTTGCTATGCTTCTTTCAGCCAAACGCTCTAAAATCATTACCATCACTGGCGGACCTCAACATTTCTAGCGTTCGCATTGCGCTTGACATTCTTGGAAATTTCTCCTCAAACCTTAGATTTGGATTCACTACTTCTATGACTCTAGGTGGGAAGAGAAGAAGGTTCACGAAAGACGAGTAAGGTATAGGACAATCCCTGGTCATTTTGCGGTGGTGTTATTCGAAGCAGTCAACACCTGGTATCAATGGAGAGGAACAGAACAGATGCCTCAAAAGATTTAGAAAAGTGGAAAGAATACAAAACCACCCAGGGTACCTAAGCGATCCCTGGACCAAGGGCAGAGCATTCGGGAGCTAAAATCTCTTCCACGGAATGCGCCAAGCACTATGCTTCTATTTAGAATCCTAGAACATGTTAGAATGCGATATTTTTTACTCAATGGCAGAGGACCAGCCGATGTGCATTAAGTTCCACCGACTGTTTGAGACTACGAATCACAGCCGTCAGCGAAGACTCGAAAATCAACGTTCTAATCTTTTGCATGCTACTGAGTTATTTTGCGTCTGGTTTTGGTGCTGAGTCTGATTGCGGACGAACTGCTGCCCGAATACATTGAGACTTTCTCGTCATGCGTCAGAATTGATTGCATCGCAATACCATCCCTGTTCCTTTACCGTTCTTTGTTGAATCCAGAAACCTTTCAGCTTGATTATACAACGTATCGCCCCGAAATTAAGTACAACGACTTCTCGCTCTAGGCGTGCCTATGAATTCACGTTTACTCCATTTCAGACGCTCGATTTACATCTAGTCTCACTTTGAGCTTCCTCCGCTATCAACAATGAAAGACAACGACTGCGAGATAGTTGACTCCATTGCGCCTGATGATCGCGCTTGGCTTGAGTGGAAGAATCTGGTCGAAGATGAAGGATGGACTTCAGATGATCTCAGCGTATTGACTCTTACGCCCAGACTTTCCTCAACACGAATTGTTCTAGCACGGAAAAGAAGTGGTAAGTGAAAAACGTTATTTATACGTACTAAGCGCGCTCAAAGTTTCTATTCCGATGATATGGCAACCCTTAAAGAGGCCCTCCTTGTCCCGATAATACAACAGGAAATTGAGAATTATTAGGGTACAGTTACTCAATGAGATATAGCCTTACTGACGTTTCCAGATGGCAGCTTCATTGGCACCGTTATTTGGAACGAATATGATGAAATCGCTTTTATCGGATTCTATCTCCTGAAGCCTGAATACCGAGGAAAAGGCATCGGCTCAGTCATCTGGAAACGTGCAATTGAAAGAATGCCGAAGAATTATACAATTGCGCTCAGAGCAGGTATACTGAAGATGCTGGAGAAATATGTTAAAATTGAAGGTGTCATCCAGTAAGGGGGGAGGGGAAGGCATTGCGATTCACAGCGCTGAGCGTGTTCGCGTTCACAACGAAAACATTTTCGCTTTGTGTACGTTCAGGACTGAGCCTTACAAGAGGGGAGAGCCCTGATGCTTGTGCAGTCTTCACTTTCTCGGAGTTCTCCC